CATACTTTTGGATCTGTGGGTATCGGTAAGGTCGGACACTGATAGGAGAAGCTCCATTCTTCAAGGTAATCGCGTGCTCGTGCCCTCAGGGTGGTGGTAATACGCTGGGTTGCTAAAAAATCTCAGAAATCTGCTGCAAAAGCTGATGTACACACTAAGTGAACTGGTCTGCCTATAAATCTTGATCCTCTCTAAACTCTGCAGCTCTACCAAGTAACCCAGTCCTCCTCCTTATATCACCTTAGCCCTAGTTTTGAGTGAAATCATAGTCCTGCATAAGCTGACATCCCCTCGTAGAACCACCACCATCCCTTCCACTTACACCTCCATAGTCAAAAACTTCCAATCCACCTTAGTCTCTCCAATCTTCTGTAACCACTTCATCCCTAGGATGACATTAGTACCTCCAAATTCCAAGGGAAGAAAATCCTCCACGATCTGTATGCCTTGGAGTGCCAGCACCAACCCTATGCAAATCCCCTACTCTTCTCTACCTTTACTGCCCCCATCATGACTCTAAAGCTTCTTGTGTCCACTAACTTCAATCCCAACTGGTCCACGACCTAGTTGGAGATGAAGTTATGAGTAGCCCCGCCATCCGCTAAGATCAGCACTGGTCTATGATGCACATACACGAACACCGCGACACGGACACGTGATACGTCAATTATTGAAAATATAGGACATGGACACGTGTTGAACACGGTATTATAATTTTTATATTTTAAAAATAGTATATAAAATTTGAATAAGTATAATTTTTAAAATAATTTAAAAATAATAAGTCATTTAATTAGAATTTGTGCTTAAAATAATTAATATTAAGAAGTCGAGAATCTGGCGTCGATGTTGTTTATCAGTCATTGAGAGAGGAGTTGACAATGTTGTCGAGAGTCGGACATTGATGTTATGCGGTAAATATTGGGAATCAATGTTAAGAGGACATTTATCATTGATGTTGAGAGGGTGTTGGTCATCGATGTTGAGAAGTCGTTGGACAAAGATGAGATGTCAAGTTGTGGGTGTAGAAATTGTTAGCATCGAGCATCAATGTAATGACAGTGTTAGACTTTGATATAAAGATCATTTTGAAATGTTGATATTGTAACGACGTCAGACGTCGATTTTGAGATGACATCGGGCATTGTTGTGAAATAAAAGTTGTAACCTGACAAAGAGAATTAAAATAAGAATATTTGATGAATGTGGTATTAAGTGCGGACAATTGATTTGGTGTTGTGGATAAAATATGTAAGTTACGCATGTCCGACATGCGTGTCGAATTTGTATTTAATATATTTTTAATTGGACACGTTTACGGTGTGTTCGACACATGTTGGTGGAGTGTTGGACGCGTGTTGTGTCGGACACGTGTCGGACAGTGCACGCCTCTTTGAGGAGAAGTGCATCATAGCCACTGGTTATTCCCCAATTTGCCCCCTCACCTCCATGGTGTGATTTGGGTAAATCCCACCATGGAGTTCAGGGATACCTCTACCACTTTTAGATGTAACTGCCTTTTTTACCCTTCGAAATTCTTCTAGCTCGTCCCCCCTCTCTTCTTCCCCTTCGCAGACTATCAAGACTTGGAGGGCTCGATTCTTGCACTTATGTCCCGGTGCAAATCTCTCATCAGACCTGAACCATAACCCTTTTGCTCGTCTATCCATTACCTCCGCTTCTATGAGGCATTTGAAATTGCCTCCAGGACGAACTTTAGTGCTCTTCTCTTTTGTGGCTTCCATCTGAAATGACATCGTTTGGGCCCTCGATGCCTGGGTTGTGGAGGTATTGCTGCCCCTCCCATTGTGTTTCTCCTGCTGTCCTTCTCCCTTTGATGTTTCTCTTCCACCCTTTGTGTTATCTCCATCATCTCTCTTAGCCCGCTAGGCCTCAACACCTTTAGCTCTGCTTGTATGTCTTCCTTAAGGCCCTTCATGAAATTCCCTTTTAACCATTCCTCAAAAATTTCCCTCAGTCTTCCTGAAAGTAGCTCAATTTTTTCTAGATACTTCATAACAATCCCCTCTTGTGTTAAGGCATAGAACTGGTCATGGAATTCTTCTCCCTGAATGGTTCAGAAATGTTTTAATAAGCAATCCTTGAATCCCCCCTCGAAATAGATCGGATATCTGACCTCTCTCCACTGAAATCAAGTTAGGACTTTCCCCTCCAAATATAGGCTCTCCACCATGAGTTTTTCCCCTTATGTTAGTCCATTTATAGCAAAATAACGCTCCCTTCAGAACACCCAACCCTAAGCATATTCCCCTTCAAAGACCGACATCTTTAACTTCCTCGATCTCGCATCTATGCCCCAATGATTTCTCCTTTGTTAGTTCCTCCCGTGTAATGGTGGTGTGATTCCCTTCCTTCCTCCCTTTGTAGATTTGGACCCAATGGTTTGGCCCACCCATTGCTTCCTTCAGTCCACCTTCCCTCTTGTTTGTGTGGTCTCCAAAAGGGTTCAACTTCCCCTTCACTTGCTCCCTTTTCTTTGGGATACCTCATCGAAACTCCTTGGGGTGGTCCTTGAGGGAAAACACTCTCCATTTCATCATCGTCCTCGTGAACTTTCTTCCCCGTCAGATCAACCGTAGGAATAGCTGGCAAAGCCTTCGATTGCATCTCTATCAATTTACTTGTCATGACATTCCATGTTTTCAAAATGGTTTTCCATGGATGAAAGCCTCCCTTCCAAAGTTATGAACTTGCCCTCCATTCCAAAAAATTTCTCATCCATCCCGACTCTGAGTTGTTCAATCTCGCCTTCCAACGCATCCATTTTCTTTGCGGCCATTCACGGATTTAGGTTCTAAACCTCAAAAAACAGCAAAAATTGGCAAAGCTAGTATTCAAACGGTGAAAATCAGCAAAGTGGGAATAAAAATGCAACAAAAATCAGCGGTGGGGACTTTAATTTCAACGTAGAACATTGCTTTGATGCCAATTTTGATGCGGACATCGGCACGAAAATCTGGCGCATCTATCACATGAGGCGTCGTAAATCGACGGCTCTGATTTAAGTTGTTATTTATGAATTATTTTCTGCATTTTAATTTCTATTTTATGTTATTTCCTGTTTTACCCCTAGGTTAATTTATTTGAGTGTTGTAGCCCAAGGGGCAATTCTACATCAAATTTGATACGCTGAGAAAGTAAAACCAGTGAGAAAACAGTTGAAAACTGCAGGAATTATGGCTTATTTTTTATTAATAGCTCAACAAGAAAATAAGATACAAGCGATCTTCAATCAGAGAGGTGTTTAAAAAATCCTATATATTGGTGTAAGGGGATAAGATCTATAGAATCCTATATATAGATGAGAGTTCAAAATATTAAGTTAAAAAGTATCAATTTTTTTTATAAAATATATTAATGTCAAATAACTCTTTATTATGTAACATGATCTAAATTATATTGGTGTTTAATAAATCACTTTAAAGAATATCCAGTTAGGCTCCTGCATCATTCTATGTATTTGGACAGGGAATATTTATTCTCCACCTTTATTAGTTTATTCTCCAATTTATGTTTGCCCCTTTGTGTAAGTTCTGTTGTTATGGTATTTGTACATCATTAGATGCTTTATATATATTTTTCACTTCGAATCTGTTTATCCATTGATGAGAGGCAGAAGCTAGACGCACAACTTAAGCTTATTTTCTCTGAATTTCTTTATAGGTCATGATTGAAAATGAGAATTTATATGAAATGCTTTTAGTTACCCAGTAAAGCATCTCTTAAATCAGCATGTATACCAGTTTACACATGAAATTCGGTTTAAAGCATGATATTTTATGTTTACTATTAGTATTGAAAATTCAAATCAGAATTCAAAAGCATTTTCAAATAGTGATTGGAAATTGTCAGCTTTGGAATAATTTGAAAATGCTCAATAGAATATACGCATACAGCAATGAATTTTTGTGTTTGCCGATAGTGTATGTAATGGAAATCTTTTATATGTATCATTGTTGGGAATTTTGTGTATGAGTATGCGTGTTAGGGCTCCTAAGTTTTATATCTAATTTGACACTACACACTGGGTGAACTTAGCATCCAGTGATCTTCTGCCAGACAATGAATTCCTTTTGTAGTTGTCTTATGGTCATCCCACTTTCTGACTTGACTTCAAAAGATTATGGAGTCATATTCTGTCTAAAAAACTTGTGTTGCGGTGAAGCTTCTTTCGGGACCTTTAACAGTATGATAAGTTTCATACATATCGATTTTGTATTATGAAAATTGTGAAGCTCTTGATGATGCGTGCAAACATCCCTTACTTGTTTTATTGAAGTTCTTAAATCCCTTAAATTCAGCATTATTGATGGCTGGCATTGCTAGAGGGGTTGTTTTAATCCGCCAAATTCCATTTAGTATGGAAGTAGTTGTAATCTGGATATTTACAGCCTTGATTTTGGCTGGTCTAAGTCTGAGATGAGTTTGTTGTCACATTTTTATGTACTTTTTGAAAGTAATACTGATGTGATACAATCCATGCGAAAATGACTTGCTTAAGAAAGTTTGCACTTGTAAATTTTAGAGAGCAATGTTAAGCAAAATCCTCTATTGATGTAAACGATGAGATAACATTAAGGTGATAAAATAGCTTAGTTCTAAACACATGCGAGAGGTTGAGATCATTAAATAGTCAACTAAGTCTTACTTTGCATACATGAGTGGTTTCAACGAGAAATTCCAATACTAACAATAAGATTAGTTGCTATGAGAAGATCCCTCACGGAACTCTTCCTATTACTAGGTTCTAGCGGCGAATAATTGACATGATCTTCATGAATCCATTAATAACCATAAATGAAAAGTAAACTAGTAAGATAAGAGAGTTTGGAAGAAGAGTTTACCCACAAGAAATAGAAGATACGACACTTCAATGTCGGTGATGATTGTTTCTACAGTAAGACAGCAGTCGAGCCCCTTTTCTCCAGCCTGGGCAGCAATATGAACTTCCTTCACAGCCCTTGGAAGTCTCCCAATTGATGGGACAACCAGGGAAAGGTGCGGAGCCCGCTGGACAACAATCACGGCAGTTGGGACAGCAGCCTGGACTCGTTGAAAGTCCTGGACAGCACCCAATACGGGTCTGCCAGGATTCGGTCTACTCTTGGTGCTGCTGGACACCTTGGACAGCAGCCTGCAGTTTTCCTGGGTGCTGGCTAGCAAGGGAACTTGCTGGAATGAGGAGTGGGCAGCAGGTAGAAGATGAGGGGAAGGTTGAGGGCCACGTGCAAAGAGTTTAGGGAACTCACGTTTGCATCACTTGGAAGAGAAAATTCAATAACAACGGAAGAGAGGGAAGCCGTTTCAGTTTTCAGATTTTTGAAATCTGAAATTAAAACTGAAGAAATATGGAATTAATTATGTGAGAGGAGGCATTTAAGAGGTGGTGATGTGGAAATTAAATAGAGGAGCAATGGGGTGAGGTGGCCGGCCATAAGGAGAGAGAAAGGAGCTTGGTAATGAATAAAATGGGGCCCTCAACTAATGATAGATTTATTCCAAGATTAATCTCAGATTTGGGTGAATTTAGATGGGGCAATTTGAATTTTGAATCCAAGCTTTAATTGTAATTAATTCCTTAATGAGGGAATTAATTGGAAAAAAAAAAACCACTGAAGGCCGGCGGCAAGGAGAGGGGGGAGAGAGATTAGGGAAGGATTAAGCGCTTTCCAATTGAGTCGATGCCACCTAGGATGAAAAATTAATAATTCCACATGTCATGAAATTTGGATTGGATCATTTCAAAAACTTTCCTTTTTAGGAATTTTGCAAATTTGGAAAGTTTGAATTTCAAATTTGAAATTCAAAATCGGTAACTCATTTATTTATTGCTAGGCCACAATCAAGGAGCCATTATGATGATTGACATCTTCATCATGGCTTGGAGCAAGGTGGTGGCCGGCGGCCAAAGGAGGAAGAGGGCTTGCCATCGGGTTTGGGGATTTCTTGATGGAGCTTGGGTTGTGGTGGAGGAAGAAGAATGTTGCTTGAAGAGGGGAGAAAGGAGATGAACAAGAATATACGAGAAAGATAGAGATAACTAACGAACTCACACAGAGATCGTAAGAACCGCGAACCTCGGACACTTCCAAAGATTGACGGGTATTGCGAATTACCCTCCTCGGGGTTCTCCTCTCATGAACTCACTAAGAGATCACGTGAACTCACTAAGAGATCAACAAGAACATAAAACTTTTCATTATCAATAATCATCATCTCAATACAAGAAAGCTAGCCTATAAATAGGCATCATGAGAAGAAAAATAACAAAGACTGAAATGCCCTTCGGGCTACAACACTACATGACCACCTATAAGGGTATAAAGGGAAAAACAACAATATGAAATAAAATAGTACAAAAACATATAAATAAATAGCTCAAGATCGTAGCCGTTGATCTCCGATGTCCTCATCAAATACTATATTAACTTTTTCCATTGTTATCCCAGTGACTATTGTTCAAACTTCTGCTCATAGGAGACTCTGGTGTTGGCAAATCATGTCTCCTCTTGCGGTTTGCAGTAAGTATCCTTAGCTTTTTGTAAAATAATTCTTAACTGGTCGTTACATGTCTATATTTTCCCAAACATGCGTAATATAAGGTTATATAAGGAATGCAAAAAGAATGACTTTTGGAACCTTTCAAGATTTGATATGGCTTCCACTTGTAACTTTTACTTCAATATTTCTTGATGATATAAAATACTTGCTAGCAGAGAGTAAGCCATACTTCTATGACAATGGTCCCTTTTAAGAAGTTTATTTTTGAAGACAATGATTTTCATGTAAACATCTACTATAGAAGTATGCTTTGATAATATCTATATATATATATATATATATATATATATATATTTAAAAATCTTTAATAGCTTGATATAATATTTCTTGATTATTTTACTTTTTATTTTGTCTGCAAGGATCCTAACTTGTTTCTGTTGTGGCTTAGGACGATTCCTATTTGGATAGTTACATCAGCACAATTGGAGTCGATTTTGTACGTGATTTTGGATAGTTACATTTCATTAAATTTCAAGCCTCGTTTTGAAATATTAAAATGCTGATCAGTTTTTTGCTTGTGTGCAGAAAATACGCACTGTTGAACAGGACGGGAAGACTATTAAGCTTCAAATTGTGAGATGCATTATTTTATTACATGAGATGCTTCTTTGACTTCAACAGAATTAATTGCTTTGCACTAAAATACTTAAATACTGAAATTGATAGATTTAAGAAATAATTTACTGAAAAATAGATGCTCTTTTAATTGGACTATCTTGTTCTGTTCATCCGATTTTTTTGCCATGATATGACCATTTGCTATCAAAAACAAAATCCGCCCTCTCTTTTCATTTCTCATTTCAATATAATTTAGCTTCGATGTTAAGTTATATTGACACATTCTTTTATTCTTTTATGGATCATAGTGGGATACTGCTGGACAGGAACGTTTCAGGACAATCACTAGCAGCTACTATCGTGGTGCTCATGGAATTATTGTAAATCTTTTTTGCATTTCCTTTCTAGTTTGATCATCAGCTAAGCCTAAAAGCATTTAAAACTCCCATTCATGTTGCTTGATCAAATTTGCAGGTAGTTTATGATGTGACGGATCAGGAGAGCTTCGATAATGTTAAGCAATGGTTGAATGAAATTGACCGCTATGCTAGTGAAAATGTTAACAAGCTTCTTGTTGGAAACAAGTGTGATCGTACTGCTAATAAAGTTGTATCGTATGAGACTGCAAAGGTGATTAATAGTTTTTATGTGTCTCTCAAATCGATGCGATGCCGTAGCAGAATTTTAAAATTTTCACAATGAAGGCACATAGAAAATTTAATTTTTGGGGTCACAAATAAAATATATACTGTGGGAAACATCAAATAGTAGTATTATATTAGTGTATATATCTATTATATATTAAGACATTGAAAATATAAGGGGCGCACATACTTCATTAAATACCCTTCTTTGTCATCATTTCAAATTTGGCAATTAGATTGTAACATGATTGAATGGATTTATTATTCTGTGCGGAGTCCGGATGGCATCCGGAGATCAATAAAAATGCGCAACGTCACCCAAAAATGTTTCCCGCTCGGTTCCGAGCTCAGTACCGGTCGGTACCTAAGCGTAACCAAACGGGAGAACCGTCCGGTGTGATCATAACAGTTGTTTGAAGTGTGAGTCTGCTTTCAATTAGTAGAAATGCTAAACTAAGTTCACTTTTGCTGCCTCAGGCATTTGCTGATGAGATTGGCATACCGTTCATGGAGACAAGTGCCAAGGATGCTACTAATGTGGAGCACGCTTTCATGTTCATGGCTGCTGATATCAAGAACAGGTAATAATATCTCACAGTAGCGCGACACTCATATAGAGACAGATCCTCATGTGCTTGGGTGTCCTGTCAAAATTTTATTGGCTTAAGTGTCCGATTTGGAGCGTCCTGTTTTTTTTTTTTAATTTTATTTTTATCTTTTTTAGAATTTTGAGTCAATTAAAATAAACTCACACACACATCATATATAGAAGCTTCAAAGATGAGATTTTTGGGTTGATAGCGGAAAATAAATAATTTGGTACTTCACAGATAATTAACTTATTTCATATAACCATTTCACTTCGAAATAAGATGCTTCTCTTTGTGATGGGAGTTTTCACGTGGCACGTGAAATAAGATAATTTGTTAGAAAGTTTTGAGAAATTTTTAGGTGCGAAGTCCGGATGTAAAGTTATGTCTGGATTCCAATAAAAATGTGACATGTCCTTATACATAGTGTGTACAAATTTATGCACATTGTGCATAAATCTGTTTATAGTGTATATATAATGTATATAAGTTTATACACACTATATATATAATTTTGTAATTTTTATATAATGTATATAGTTGTACACACTATATACAAGGACACATATCACATTTTTATTGGAGTCCGCCGCATATAATAATTTCTTCATATATATATGTAAAATATTTTACTTCTTGGATTTGTGAAATGTGTAGCAACGTAGCGGAGTAGGGTTCATTTAAGGTGGCTGCGACGGTTTTTAACCGTATTTTTAGAATTATTGTAGCAAAAGCTGAAATTTTTTTTTAATTTATAAATTTTCACTTTTTGAAAGAAGCGAAATAGTTGCTTTGTTCTATCTATCATACTTTAACAGATTTGATTATTAAAAGATAATTCTCATCATAAAAATATTTGAAAAAAAAAAAACAAAAGAAAAAGTTGTGTGGAAATAGAAACGTGACAATTATTTGAAAAGCAGAGGTTATGATGCTAAACGTGATAATATCTGTTATTTTTGACTTGATTATTCATGTGGCATTTACCATATCTTTGTCTTTTGACAGGATGGCAAGCCAGCCCGCCATGAACGGTGCAAGGCCACCAACCGTCCAAATCCGTGGACAACCGGTTAGCCAAAATTCCTCGTGCTGCTCTTCGTAAGACTTACAGTTACCTTACATACTAAGAAAACAAAGTCCTCAAGCTCATTTTGAAGAAGGCGGCGACAGCTTTCGTCCTCTAGCTGATTCTTATTGCTTTGTGGTTCCTTTAAGCACGTTTTCATATCATTCTTTCCACTTGGATTCCTTTAGCCACTGTACAAATCTGATTGTAGCATCACCTTTTTTCCTAACCTTTGATCAATTATTTGAGTATTCGTTTTGTTATGTCTTATGTGCATATGCTTTATTTCCATTTCATGCACATTAATAGGATATTTTTCTTAGGGGCTGTTTGGTATCTCGGATTTACAGCGGGATTTAAGTCGGATTTATGCTAAATCCAGCCAAACAGTTTTTGTGCGCGCGTTAAATCCCGGGATTCAGTAAATCCTGGATTTACGAATTTACAGCTTAAATTCGGGATTTAGTAAATCCGAGGGCTAGCCGGATTTAGTAAATCCAAGCGGGATTTATCCGAAGAAACGCGCGAAAGGGAGAAAGTTACCTTCACAGCCAGCGAGCTCCCGTTCTTGCTTCCGATCAAAATGTCATAACTTCCGATCCGGGTTGGAAGTTGTCGCAGGAGCGAAGTCGAACAGCCACGAAGGAGCCGAAGAAGCGACACTGCAATCTCTACACCTGCAAAAGCAACGGAGCCGAACAGCAACGAAAGATGAAAGGCAAAACCTAGACGCCTCTAAGTTATTATTGATTAACTTAATTAATATAATTTACATTATTAATACTTAATTAAATTAATTAAATAGTTAATTGTATAATTAGTGCTTAAATTAAATAAACTAATTTAAATTATTAATAATTAAAAAATAATTAAATAATTAATTATATAATTTAACTTAATTGCATAATTAGCAATTAAATATTAATATAATTAGA